TCCATGATTCGCGCATTTGGATACAATTACGACCGTCCCCATACATAAAATTAGGACTGTCCAAAGTGATTGCCATACACTTCCGTGTAATAAAAGACATAATTTGTCATCCCCTTCCCTTTTCTTCCCCTGTTGAGTTTCTTGATGACTCCTAAACTAGAAGGGTGTTTTATTGAAACTAGATCATCTCGCCCTTTTCGTTCGTCAGTGCTACAGTTTTCTTTCCAAGGACTATGGGCCACGGGGAACACGTAGCGTAGGGATGTCGAATTCACACTATCTGAACTCCTACTACGTCTTCAGCTCCCATCGAACTCACCAATAGACACCCTGCATCTCTTCCCCGTGATCTCCAACCTTCAGAAAAACACACTTATAAATACCCATCACATCCTCCAATCTGAGTATGAGTATACCTTCTTACTCTCCGTTTTAAACGAGACAGGACCCGCCACTAGTAGATATTGTTCTTTTTGAGTTTTTCCTTTCGGACTTCCCTTCAAGGTTTTTAAAATGCGTCTACTAGGGAGAGATTTCCACACCCGTATAAAGAATGCTTCGTTCTCCTCCCCAACCGATATGAGATCTCACAATCCACCACCTTTTAGGGCCCAGCATCCTCGCCGGTACACCACCTCGTGTCCACCCCCCTTTGGGGTTCAGTCTCCTCGCTGGCACATCGTCCGATGTCTGGTTCTGATACCATTTTTAGTGGCCGAAGTTCACCGCTAGCAGATATTGTCCTCTTTAGGTTTTCCCTTCCATGCATCTCCTCAAGGTTTTTAAAACGCGTCTACTATAGAGAAGTTTCCACACCCTTATAAAGAATGTTTCGTTCTCCTCCCCAACCGATATGGGATCTCGTAATCCACCGCCCTTCAGGGCCCAGCATCCTGGCTGGTACACCACCTCGTATCCACCCCCCTTTGGGGCTCAGTCTCCTGGCTGGCACATCGCCCGATGTCTGGCTCTAATACCATTTGTAGCGGCCGAAGTTTACTGCTAGCAGATATTGTCATTTTTAGTTTTTCCCTTCCATGCTTCCCCTCAAGGTTTTTAAAACGCGTCTACTAGGAAGAAGTTTCCACACCCTTATAAAGAATGTTTCGTTCTCCTCCTCAACCGATATGAGATCTCACAATCCACCCCCCTTCGGCGCCCAGCATCCTAGCTGGTCCACCACCTTGTGTCCACCCCCCCTGTACATCAGTCTCCTTGGCACATCGCCTAATGTCTGGCTCTAATTCTATTTGTAACGGCCCAAGCCTACCGCTAGTAGATATTATCCTCTTTAGATTTTTTTTTTCCTTTTCAAGCTTCCGCTGAGGTTTTTAAAATGCATCTACTAGGAAGAAGTTTCCACACTCTTATGAATAATGCTTTGTTCTCCTTCTCAACTGATATGAGATCTCACACACTTGAACACATCCAAGAACCGTTACCTGATCATATTTGTTAAAGTAGATCTAAAATGACCTCGAATTCTTTCCATTCCAATGGACGTAGAAGTTACTGTTTTGCAATGTATTGCCATTACAAGTGCTATTATTATTCAATATGTTCTCTCCAGGAACTGTATTGTGGCTACAGAATCAAACTTGCTTTTTGTTGAAACAAAAAATTTTACTCCACAAAATGACCATACAAGTGATTACAAGGATTCCTCCAATTTGGCCATATTATTATTTGATCATGACATTAAAATCTTGTAATCAATCACAATCACCTATTATTGATACATACTTAATATTCTATGCAAAATATATCAATTTAAACACGAACGATCCATATATGCCTCAAAATAACAATTGATTTATCTTTTGCATAGACTTGTCAAATGAGTAAAAGATATTTGTTTCCATTCATATGGTTGAACTAAGATACATTGTACACGATCAACACGAAGATTCTCTACATCCCTAGACTTGTGGTCAAACCTCATCAATGACCAAGCAATGAAAGATACATCACAACTAACCTACACGATCAACGCATGTTCTAGTGGAGGCTATAAACATTCATCCTATGTTTGACTACTCTACGATTATGATGTTTCTTAGCTCATACCATATTCATGTCAAATACCCTTACATCGTCCTTTGTATTACAGTATGGTTATTTAAACTTCTAAACTTTGACATCACATATGATACATATGTTTAAATTAAAACACGACCATGAAAATTGCATGAGAGAGAGATGGAAGACGCCAAGTTTCAACTTTGAATACTTGTACGCATCTTCTCTTCCAAGTAATGAGGCCAATTAAACAAATACGACCATTTGACTTTGCCTCTAAATATTTTACTCTCTTCAATTGTATGCGAAGATGCCACCTCCCTCATGATGTATTTTTCTCCCGACAATAATAGATTCGAGATTATAACGTATTAACTAATTAACTTTTTGACCTAAATATAATTCGTACGTTACTTAATTAAGGGGAATATTGTAGGTATATAAGTAAGAGACGCTGTCTTCATTAGTATGAGACTTTTGGAGAAACCAAAAACAAAATCACTCGAGATTATGTTCAAAGTAAACAATATCATACCATTATAAAAAGTCATTGTTCCTATCAATCTTGACCAAGAGATTAAAGATTCGAATTCTCTCACCTTCCTATATTGTGGTACTAAAAAAAATAATTGGATTATATACATACATATATATATTACGCTCTAGGAAGATAATATATTCGAAAAATAAATGCTAAATCAAAAATTTAATTATTTATTTTTTAATATAATATTATTCTTAATTAAATTATAGCAATTATTTTATTCTCTTTTAAATATATTATTATTCAATATAATTTTTTAAAAATATTTTTTGGATTCCACTTGAAAAACTTTATAATATAATAAATAAAATAAGATACCATATATCGTATATCATTATAAATCACTACTTAATTATATATTAAAAGTTTTTTTAATAGAAAATATATATTTTAAGTTGATGTAATGTGTGTGGACTGTTGAATGTGTTCATCATTTGACTCATTATTATTATTTTTTCCAGTCTTATTTAATAATTACTGAAAATATTTTTAGTATAGTTCAATAATGATTGGAAATATTAATATTTTTTGTCATATTTTAAATTTAAATATAGATATTATATAAATGGTTCTATCGAAAATATTATAATATCATTTGTCTAGTATTATTAACATCTTTTGGTCTTATTTATTAACTATTAAAAATAATTTTAAATAAATATATTATTTTAAAATTAAAGAGGGGTATTATATACGAAAATTTTAATATAAATCGTCATTTTCTTAATTAAAAAATAAATTAAACCTTCGATGTGTTCTTATTTCTGCCTCACAATGTTGATGTCTTTTTCATATTTGACTGTATTTAAATTAATATATTATGGGAAAATAAATTAATAATTTTTAAAATGACACATTTTTCAAACATTTTATTTATTTAATTTTTAATTTTTAATGTGATTAAGACTATGTTCGTTAATTATTTAATTTTTTAATTTTTAAAATTACGCCATAATACATCATTGACATTAATTAAAAACGTCAAATATTCTTAAAGTATTTTTTTAAAATATTTTAATTTTTTTAAAAATATATCTATAATTTTAAAAAAAAAAAAATTTCAATGTGTTCTTAATTTATATTTAAAATAATAATAAATTTATATTCAATAGTATCCTAAAATTTTTAATTAATTTTTTTATTTTTATTGAACACAAAATTAAAAAGTTTATTCAACCATAAATTTCAATTATTTTAAATATTTAAAAAAATTCAAATAAAATAAAATAAGGAAGAATACCAATTTTAAAAAAATTAATTCAAGAATTTCTCGCTCGAATAAATCAATTATTTTTCATCTATGTAGCATATTAATTCACGAACAAAACGTTTTTATTTTTCTTGTGGGGAGTCGGGGAACATTATAAAAGAAAAGTCTTCGATATTTGGTATACCAAACAATATGATACCTTGAAAATTTAATTCGTACCTTTATCTATAAAACTTTAATGTATATTTGTGGGGTAAGAAAATGATAAATATTTTAACCCTATGGTATTGTCACAGGACCTTTAATTATTCGTGCAAGATTCATTGACCCACTTTTGTTGTTGGTTTATATTCGCTCACGTTTTTTTCGAATTAAATTTTAAAAACGTCATAGGAAATGAAAATATTTTCAATCTTCAGTAAAAAAAAGAAAATACGGATGATATTAGAACTTTAATTTACAGATATATCGATATTAAATGAATATATTTTTTTAAAAATTTAAAAATCAATAATTATCGTGATCTTTCTTATTCAAATGTGGGTACGATTCATTCATGTACCCTCTCATTTACTCCGGTATCACCAGTAATTCGAGAAGGGTAAAATTTAACTTCTTTTCATATAATTTTTTTGCTTTAACACTAATAGTAATACTCGGCAATTCATTAGTCAAATATCACTGCATGCAGGAATCTAAGGCTGTCTGAAATCAATAAATTAGAGAACTAACCAACAGTGACTCAATGACGGGTTGGTCCCTGTAGATTGTACGCTTGTAAAGGACTATTTCTTCGTTTAATTCACATTTTTCATGTTGAGTTATTTATGTTCATCTTTGAATGATTTGAGACTCTACGTCGCACTAGCTTGTGGGCACCATAGACTCAAGAATAGACTGATTGACTCAACAGTGGCTCAATGACGAGCTGGTCTCTGCGGATTGTACACTTCTAAATGACTATTTCTTCGTTTAATTCACATTTTTCATGTTGAATTATTTATGTTCATTTTTGAATAATTTGAGATTCTAGGTCATACTAGCTTGTGGGCACCAAAGACTCGAGAATAGACCGATTGACTTGGTCTTTAGCTTCTTTACCGGTCTCAAAATTTGATAACTAGGGTTCTTTACCGGTCTCAAAATTTGAGCCGTCGCGTTGGGACGTTATACAAAAATGGCTCTACCAAACGCGTCTGTGTGCTGACTGTTAACTAGGGACCCTCGCTTCGGTAGCCTCAAAGGTTATCTCTAGTCACTCTTAAACGGGGTCCGCCCGCTTTCCTCCGTCTTCCCCCAACCCTCACTCTTCGGCTAGGCCTGCCTTTCCGCCTCCATTTCAGCCACAACCATCTTCTTCTTCTTCATTAAATTTCATCGACCAGCAACAAAGAAACCAGAACCCACTTAGATCTCCCTCTATATAACCTCTGCAATTCATCCCTTCTCTCAGATCTCCCCCACTTTACTTCATCTCTACTGTACTCGAACTTCTTCGCCCCTTTGCTCGATTCCTTCCATTTTGGCTTAGCTTTTGACTGATTCTGCTGATTCGTGTTAATATTGGGGGTTTGGATTGGTTGCTGTTTCTCTTTTGAATTTGATTCGTTTATGGGTCTAATTTGTTGAATGCGAATTGGTAGACTTGGTTTTTGATTTTGATAAAGTTTCTTCTGACCAATCCGCTTAAGAATCTGGTTTTGGAAGTGGGTTTGGCTTTGACTACTATTTTGCTTCCGAAACTTCTTCGATCTTTTCGCCTTTTGACTTCGATTTCTTTACTTGTTTCTCTTTTTCGCTGTGTTCATTGTTTGCGGCTGCTCATTTTCCAAGAAACAGCGAGGGGTTTTGGAAAATATCTGCTAGAACTCGATTGTTGTGATTAGCGGATGAGGAATAAAGAATGAGAAGTCATTTAGTTGTACGGTAGTGTTTTTATTAATACATTATCTACGTTGTGTTTGACTGAGCAAAACCTTTTGTAATTGGAAGTTCTGGGTTGTATTAAAATCACTTGGAGGGTGATTTTTCATTTAGATGTGGAGGATTCTTTAGATGAAATGAGGGATGTTATCGGAGTTGATGAACTTATTGAGGGCCTGTTTTGGGCCAAGCTCCGATCGGTCTGCAGCGGGCGATATCAGGGGGCGACAGGACGGGTTGTTGTGGTACAAAGATAGTGGACACCATTTGAATGGTGAGTACTCAATGTCTGTTGTTCAGGCCAACAATTTGCTTGAAGATCAGAGTCAGATTGAGTCAGGCAGTTTGAGCTCAGATGAGTCTGGTCCCTTTGGGACCTTTGTTGGTGTGTATGATGGCCATGGAGGCCCCGAGACGTCGCGGTATGTCTGTGATCATCTCTTCCAGCATCTCAAGAGTGAGACATCTACTTTCTTCATGAATTCATAACTCAGAATTTTCTTATTTCAGCTTCATATTTTCTGTTCGTTCTTATTTGATCATGGAGTGATGAGGGGAAATAAACTAGTTTGTGGTTCATTTATGTATATTCCCTGTTTGTTCTTGAAAATTTTCGATTAATGTCTGTTTGTGAGTACACTACTTCATATCTGATTAAGGAATGTTTGTCTGTGATAGTTTTTCGGATGGATCATCATTGATATATGCTGGTTTTGTCGATGTTTCGTGTAGGATTTACTTCCGAGCAAGATTCTATGTCTGCGGATGTAATACGCAAGGCATTTCAAGCGACAGAAGATGGTTTTCTTTCTATAGTCCGAAGACAATGGTCAACGAATCCACAAATTGCTGCTGTTGGTTCATGTTGTCTTGTTGGTGTAATATGTAATGGGACTCTCTATATTGCAAATCTAGGTGATTCTCGTGCTGTTTTGGGTAGAATGGTGAAGGCAACCGGTGATGTTATAGCCATTCAGTTATCGACGGAGCATAATGTCGCTAACGAGTCTGTGCGGCAAGAGCTGCAATCTTTGCACCCCGAAGACTCGCAAATTGTGGTTTTAAAGCATAATGTTTGGCGTGTAAAGGGCATAATACAGGTTAGTTAGTACTGATCTTCGAATGTCTCTAGTATGCTGTTAGTAATTGATTGATTGGATTTGTAGTTGCGTTTCCTTTGGCCTGTTATATATTGTCGTCAGCCTCACGGTTTTTAAAACGCGTCTTCTATGAAGAGGGTCTAGCCCTACTCTGATTAGTGCCTTGCACCGTTCGGTGACTGATGAGATCCCACATCCGTTAAAGAGGGGAACAAAACATTCCAGTATAAGGGTGTGAAAACCTCTCTCTAGCCAGATGCGTTTTAAAACCATGAGGCTAACGATGGTACATAACAGGCTGAAACGGACAATATCTACTCGCGGTGAACTTATGCTGTTACACTTTTCATGAATAAACTTATAGAAGGAGAGTTGATAATGCTTATTCCTATAAGGATCAAACTGCCTTCTGAAAGTTCGATCATTCACACAATCTATGGATTTAGACTTTAGCATTGTTAGTCCTTTGCACTGAATGATGTCGATCGTCATCGTGGTTAGTTAGCTATGGGAGAAAATAGATATAGCATGTAACAGCCTAAGCCCACCGCTAGCAGATATTGTCTGCTTTGGCCCGTTAAGTATTGCCGTCAGCCACATGGTTTTAAAACGCGTCTGCTAGGGAGAGGTTTTCACACCCTTTATAAAGAATGTTTTGTTCCCCTCTCCAACTGATCTAGGATCTCGCAATCCACCCCCCTCGAGGCCCAGCATCCTCGCTGGCACTCGTTCCCCTCTCCAACTGATGTGGGATCTTACAATCCACTCCCCTTTAGGGCCTAGCGTCCTCGCTGGCACACCGCCCAATGTCTGGCTCTGATACCATTTGTAACATCCCAAGCCCACCGCTAGCAGATATTGTCCGCTTTAACCCGTTATGTATTTCCCTTAGCCTCACAGTTGTAAAATGCGTCTAGTAGGGTGAGGTTTCCACACCCTTTATAAAGAATGTTTCGTTTCCCTCTCAAACGAACGTAGGATCTCACATAGCACCTCAATCTTCCATTTTGGAGAAATTAGAATGTCAAAAGAGAGGCTTTTTCATCTCTTTCTTTATCTGTTGTATTCTGGAAGTCTGAAGAACTTTAGAGACACATGAATGTGGCTGTTTCGATCATTAAGCGCTATACAACATTTCTCGTAATTCGTCGACATATGTCTCGAGAACTTGCTTTCATGTCCAGGTTATGGTTTGAGTTCAATATGAAATTTTAATCTTCAGAGGTTTTACTGTTACAGATTTCCAGATCTATAGGCGATGTCTACTTGAAAAAAGCCGAGTTCAACAGAGAGCCTCTGTATTCAAAGTTTCGAGTTCGCGAACCCTTCAAGAAGCCGATTTTGAGCTCCGAACCGGCCATTTCTGAGACCCAGTTGAAGCCAGATGATCAATTCATTATATTTGCATCAGATGGGTTGTGGGAGCACCTTACCAATCAGGAAGCCGTCAATATTGTTCATAAGCATTCTCAAAGTGTGAGATCTCTATCTAAATTTTTACTGTTTCACCACCTTTCCATTAAACAATATTATACGTACTTTTTTTCCCTATGATCATGCAGAGAATTAGAGTTCAACCATACTTAAATTTACTTTGTTTTCTGTATTATTACACTATTACTCTTCTTTTTTACGAAAGTAGCCTTCCGTGCTCGTTGATTGTGGTTTGAGAAGGGAATGAAACATTCCTTATAAGGGTGGAAATCTCTCCCTAGTAGACGCGTTTTAAAACCTTGAGGGGAAGCTCAGAAGGGAAAGCCAAAGAGGACAATATCTGTTAGCAATGGGCTTAGGCTGTTACAAATGGTATCAGAGCTAGTCATTGGACGGTATGCCAACGAGGATGCTGGACCCCAAGTGGGGGTGGATTGTGAGATCCCACGTTGGTTGGAGAGGGGAACGAAACATTCCTTATAAGGGTGTTGAAACCTCTCCCTAGCATACGTGTTTTAAAACCATAAGGGGAAACCCGAAAGGGAAAGCCCAAAAAGGATAATATCTGTTAGTGGTGGGCTTGAACTGTTACAAATGATATTAGAGCTAGTCACTGGATGGTGTGTCAGCGAGGATGCTGGGCCTGCAAGGGAGTGGATCGTGAGATCCCACGTTGGTTGGAGAGGGGAGCAAAGCATTCCTGGTGTGGAAACCTCTCTAGTAGATGCGTTTTAAAACCTTGAGGGAAAGCCTAAAGAGGACAATATTTTCTAGCGGTGGGCTTGGACGGTTAAAGCTCTTTTCATCTTTTTTGTTTATAAATATGCACGAACTGATTCTGAGATTAACATTAATCGCTCGTTTTTTGCCTCCTATTTTCATTCTCATTTGCCTATTTTGTGGTAAAAGTTGCCTCCCAATGCCCACCATTACATCCTTTTCCCATCATTTCATTACATGTTTGACCATTTTAGGGGTAACAGTAGAGGGAAGCAAACACTAACACTTTACATATGCTATTACTTTTTCAGGGAAGTGCACGAAGACTCGTCAAAGCTGCACTTCAAATAGCTGCAAAGAAGAGAGAAATGAGATACTCAGACTTAAAGAAGATCGACCGCGGCGTTCGTCGCCATTTCCACGACGACATCACCGTGGTGGTTGTGTTTCTCGATTCAAATCTACTCTTCAGAGCCAGCTCCACAAAGAGCTCGAGTGTCTCACTACGAGGAGGTGGAGTCAACAACTGGCTCCCTAACTCTTTAGCACCCGTCCCTACGCCGACGTAGAACCCGGAAATCCCCGATCGGAAGGGGCATTGGTATGGAGTTTCTGCTGTATTTCCCCCCCTATGTGAATACTAAGTTAATTAGCCTCATCCATCAAAGCTCTCAACTGTGAACCTTGTAATGTAAAACTCTTATGTAACTCTGCCTGTTCCCACCCCCTCCCCTTTTGCCCTCTTCCTTCCACTTGAAGAAAATTCACTGAACTTTTGTAACTATCCTCTATTTGAAAGACCTTAGTTTTGAATAACTTCCATGTAAACCCATGTCATGTTCTTAACAGGAAATCATCACTGCCTCTATTGTTTCAGCCATGGGAACGGTCCCGAATCTCGACCTAAGGGATTGTTCGGCCGAGGTAACTATGTAAATTCAACTATCACGAGAAGATGAAAGCTTTATTACTATTTTTGAGGTTAGGTCGGTTATCTATCCCCATGTTTTACTATGTAGGCATGATGTTTCGGTCATGTTTGTCCAAGATATGTTGTTTGTGGCTGCGTGTTGGAAGTCTTGATCATATTTGTTCAGGGCGTGTTATTACTCCCTTTTTTGCTTTCCTGTGTAGTTAGGTCTTTTATTATTCACTTCGCGTCAATACAGGAATGTAGGGTCGTTCAAACATGTTTGTGGTCGTGTGTTGGATGTGTCGGTCATACTTGTTTAGGGTGTGTTGTCACCGCTTTTATTGCTTTTGTGTAAGGTTTTTATTATTCTTTTCACGTTTATGTGGGGGTGTATGACTGTTCTCCAAAATCATGACTACACCCGCCAGGCAAAAATTCCCAAAAATGTATTATAGGTATGTGACTAGTCGTCAACTCTTCCTATCTGGGTTATATGCTATCAATGCTGAAGTTGTTGCTTATTCAAACGATTTTCTCGCTCACGTTTAATAAAACATTTATGTCAAATGTGACCCAAAATCGATCATACGTCAAGAAAGTCCGCAAGGTTCGATTTTTACACAGTTGACTTGTTCGCCAGATTAGAATAAATATTTCACAGTCATTGTCTCGCTGCTACAAAAGTACGATTGTGACACATGACATATAACTAAATAAAACTTAGAGAATGTTCGAGAATGATTAAATTGGACGGTGTCGTAGGAGAGTGTCTAGAGCCATCAGGTGTCAAATTCGACTTCCAAACCTTGGACATCGAGCGGTAATTACATGTACCATCAGCTAAAAATTAGAAGTTCGAATCCTTCAACTTTCAATATTATGAATCTATAAAGACGTTTCCTTCACAGAAGAACAACCGAGCCATTAAAAAGTTTCAGATTTGAATCTCGAGCTTTCGAGAAAAAAAAGACCTTTGAATCTACAAACCAAGTACCAACAAAAACAATGGGGCTATATGGAGCCAAGAGAGAGAGAGGGGGGGGAGAGAGAAAAGGGGAATATTCACAAATTGCCCCTGCCCAACGTGCACCCATGCAGATCACGATGTTGAGATAAACACATACATCTTTCAATACAGATAATGAAGCGGGTCCCTCCTTAGAGGGCATTTTTGTCATTTCAGCCCTCTCCAAAAGTGTTATGAAAAAATTCCCCACCATCTGTAATTCGTGGACCAATAATATCCCGCCACGTCACAACGGACAAATTTTACCTTCTCAAATAAACTCTACGCAAGAATCTCTTTCTTAATATTATCATTACCACTTTTTTAAAAAAAAATTAATTTTAAATAAAATACCATTTTGGCATATTTATTTCCAAAATTTATTTTAATTCTTAGAATTTATTTTTTTACACTCTAAATAAATAAAAACAATTAAATTATACTTAATTTAATAAAATAAGTTAAAATTTTTGAAATTATATTATATTCTATTTTTTAATGAAAAATATTGTTATTATTTTTTAAAATTATGTAATTTTAAGAGGTATTTAAAGTATAATTAAAAATATTTAAAAATGATAATTTAAAATTTAATAAATAATTAAGGAGTGAAATTTAGTTTCTTCTATTAAAAATAATAACATTTGTAGTCCATCAGATCCCAGTTTACATCTTCTTGCTGCTGTCCTCATTTCTCCTCGCCCTCGGTTCCGCTATCAGATCAGGAGAGCGAAAGCAACAGGTTTGAATCTTCGTCTTCTCTTCCAGATCCGTCATGGATTCAGGAAGTTTCTTAATCGTTGTTTCGATCGCTTCGGATTCTCGTTTTCGTTTGGAATATGTATTTGTTTGCCTCTTCAGGGCTGTAGTTGTTGCATACGTTTGATTGATCCGAACTTTGGTTTTTCCTTGGCGTCGGGATTGTAGCCATTTGATTTCGAGGAGAGTTTGTATCTGTGTGTGTGTGTGTTTTTTTTTTTGCTGTTGTTCTGTGGTTATTGGTTTGTGTTGAGGAAGTTGTAGGTGATTTGATTAATTGTTTAGTAATACATTCAATTGAATTCTTTTGTTAATTTGTTGTAATCAACTTTTTTTTTTTTTTTTTTTTTTTTTTTTTTTTTTTTTTTTTTTTTTTTTTTTTTTTTTTTTT